GCTTTTAATCGAGAAAGTACGGAAACTAAAATTAGCCCTAACGTCACCTTCAGATAATTTAAAAACGTACGTTTGCGATGTCTAGCGACATCCAACATGCACGTCAACTTCTTTACGTAAAAGGTAATTTTTATTACCTAGAAGTAGGCCTCTGTTTTGGTTCTAAAGTTCTCCGGATCTGTTAAGTGCAAAATATTTGCCTTTATTAACTTTCGAACACGTTTTTTTCCATCAAATGACATTTTTAATTAAAACCAAAATGTTATTTTGAAAATAAATGCAGGTGTTTGTGGAATATTCTAACCAATTTTTTCCACGAGTTTTAATTTTGTGAGTTTGAATAGGAAGAACACAGCAAACAAAGAAGCGTACAGAGATATTTCCAAATCGTTTCCACGAGAAAGATTATATTAGCGAGTCTTTATATGGAGGCTTTTAGCGATCTTAGAAGAAAGAACAACAACTTAATGCCATGTATCTCAGTGAATAAAAAGCCATATCACGAACGTGCGGTGAAAGCTGTCAGATCTTTGTCATAACTCACGTGAGAGTCGCGGACCAATTACAATCTACTGGCGTCTATTGCAATACTCGATATTATGAGTCATAGCGGTCTTGTTCGTGAGAAGCGCTTCGTGTGCAACAAGGAAGACACGCGCGAAGAGTTTTCGAACAAGAAGCAAGTAAGTACTTTCCCATTCTATTTTGAGCACACGCTAGTGCAATATCCTGTTGTTAACAAGCGATCTACCTGGTATCAGTTTCTATTTAAGAGGAAATCTCCCTGTCGTAAAAAAAAGATCAGCTCGTGAAAATTCATTTGATCAAGACAGGTTTTCTTTCCTTTGTCCTTAAGCCTTAGTGTGAATTGCGTGTTTTGTATCTTTTTTGGTGTCTTAATTCGTAGAGATTGCAAAGACAGGTTCTTGTTTCCCTGAGCTGCGTGAAATATTGTCTACAAAAATATGTTTGAATTGAATCGTGCCACGCTTCTGATTTAAACGGTACATTCTGTCCGAAATTACGAGTTGCCATGGGATGCAAATTCACCGTGATGTTGATGTGATACATGTTGCCCCCAAAATCCGCTGGAAACAGCCATTTCGCTACAATGTTTTGCGATTTTGTTTTCTGTACTATTGAATTATTCAAAAGGAAGGCTTTCAAAACAAAAAAACTCATACCACGCAGCAGTGTTGCTAAGGATTGAAAATTTGATTCAAACAAAATAAAAATTGAGCGCTGAAACAATATATTTCACCGTTCATCCTCTGTCTTTTCTAAGCCTAGCATTCGTCAGCTCATGGACGGAACTTGGATTTGAAAAACACTGTTGAAAACATTTAAAAGTCTAAACGCCAAGTCTTCGACAGTCTAATGAATTGTCCTTGAAGGTTTCTTAAAGTCGTATTACTTTTAAAATAAGAAATGAGTCAGTGGTCATCCATTATTGATGGACTGCAATTACCATGAACTGACAGCATTAAATAGTAATGGCCCTCTGTTCGTTCAAATGACAGAGATTAAAGAAAAACATTCGGTGGAAAAGCTACCGGGAAGTAATCAGACATGTTAAGAATTTAGCTCGTGCTGGGATCAACACACTCAATGCCCTGCGGTGTTTTCTTCAACTCATTTCCTGACCTTTTTTTGATCACTTGAATGCAGCACAGCGGTAACAGGAATCCATTTAGATGCTGTAATTATTCTGCAAAAAATGGAATGCTGAAAAAAGAAATTGGTGTCTGACGAAACTCTGGTAAATTCTTGTAGTAACGGTTTTAAAAGTTTTCCCTTCTTTATCCAAAACGTCCTACCGACTGCCCAGGAGTTTAATGGATAGCATCAAAATGCAAATTCTCCTCATCAATTTCGCTGCATTTCCCTTAGTAATAGTTTGGAGAATTGGAAAGTCATAATTTTCCTTATTTTCTAGACATTCATGAGCTACTTCGTGTCGATAATGACGGGGAAAATTTGAATGTCAACCGACCCGACTTTTGGGCGAGCTCTGAGAGTGTTGATGTGTAATCAATATGAAACACCATTAAAGCGCAGTTTGAAAAAAAAGGACAAAAGACATGAGTTATTGACTGTGGATAGACTACCCGCTAAATTAGAGACTGGAACAACGTGCATATTAGAAAAAGCTGCATCGAAAGTTGCTATTTCCCCAATTCGCTCGTAGACCCACATATATTCAGTTGTATTTGAATAAGTTCGTCTGTATTTAAATTTCTTTTTTTTTCTCTGTAAAACAAGCATTATCTTTTCCCAGAAAAAGTATATAGGATGCTAATGTGTAAAGCTTTTAAAGTTTCTTCAGTCTTTCATTTAATTAACCGCCTTTCAGATGGCAAACAGTTGACATTTCGAGGACATCTACTTTGCCGCCGGCTCGCTTGCCAGCTGATTCAAGAACGTTAATTGTCGCTGTGCGGGATTTTTGAACAGAAGTCAATAAACTCAAAGTGAATGGTTGAGGTCGGCAATTTCTTGAGCATAGTAGTAATTGGGCTGAAAAAAAAACACGCGGACCTTAAGAACGTGTGAGGTTTATTTCTTCGTGTTTTAGACAACACCATTTCAAATAAGTTGGTGCGAAATTTAATTTGAAACAGTTTTCAGTCATAACTGGCAAAAGAAATTTTTATTGAAATGATATACTATGATCTTCACTAGTTTCCTGCATATATTACTGTTACACCGCCAGACAGCTGTCCGTTGATAGAAACTTCCTTGATATAGTCAAAATAAACATCACTTCTTATCTACAAAAAACGATTCGGCGGCCTCAACTCTGGTCATTCCTTTCAGATTTATCCATCACAGCGACACTTTGGCGGTAAAACAGGAAGTATGTACGAGTTTTCACCAGTCTTTAAAATTCTATACAGAAACAATATTTCCTGAACACAGCAAACTAAGTCGTAGGAGACATATTGTTTAAAAGATAGTTTCGATGTAGACCATAAGTTTTTGTGAAACTTTCAATAGTTTTGCAACACTAAAAAGCAATGTGGTTATCATACCAAGATATTATTGTGGACCACATAAAAAGTAGCTGGCCTGTCGTAAGGGCATGCCCAATTCCAAACTAAGCTGTGTTAAAAACACAATGAATATAACTTGCAGTGCACTAGAAATACACTGATTCGGTAATCTGTAAGTTGCTCTGACGCTTTCTAGCTTTTGCCATTCGCCACATCACACACACATTATGTTTTATCTCTAGTTAATACAAAACATTTTTTCCTTTTCGTTGAAACCAAGTCGGAGCTGTTTAAGATGTTAATGGTACCGCACATGAGATTCACAGCACGTCCGTGGTTACTAACATCAGACTTTCTAAATAAGAACTGGCGAGACCAGTGCCTCGCCTTGCCTCCTCCTATAGCTACGGCCCTGTAGCCACGCCCTAATAACCTCGTACGTGCTTCGGCTGATCAAAGGAAGGCTTTTTGTCTGAAAAGTTCGTAAAAGTAAACACATCCTCAGCCAGCTGCTAATAGGTTTGACTTAGCTGATGGATAACGGTTAGCAATGGTTCCCATAACAATCAAACCGAGTCAAACTGGCTATAAATGTGGTTTTTATACGATCGGTGGCATTCATTCGTAACCGTCTGGAAATTAGAGAAAATTGCAAAACTAGAAGCAGATTGCAAAGAATTTTTCTAATTCTAAACAACATAAGCTTAGCGAAGCATTCGCTTTCAACACGAACCGTCAGCTGTATCTTTTCCGCGATGAAGCAACGAGAGACCGCTGTATTTGAAGGTTAGGGGCGAGTGTACGATATTCTTCTTTGACATATTTGTGATAAAAAGAAGTACTTAGTTACGCTTTATAAACAATTCAAGCTCTTTTAGATTCTCTTCTTTCTTTAATAATTCAGCCCAATTCTTTTATTATCCCTGAAACACATCAGGATAATAGAAATTGTGTCCTTCCTGCCTATTTCACTCACTAGATCTCATTATTGTTCACTACGTCACCACTGGTCGGAGATCAGTCAGTGATAGGAATGCAGGCAAAACATATAGCTTGAAAAACTGAATCACACAATCTCCTATAGAGCTATACTGCTGAACAACATCTTGAGTCAGCACAGTTTTAGGATAACAAAACTAATTGTAGCCTGAAAAAAAAACGTTTTCACTGCTTGACTCTTTTAGTCCCAAGCTCAAAATGTAAATTTTCCTAACAGATTATCGTACGTTTTGCAATGCCAGTGTTGAGAATTTGGTAGTTCATCTATTCTCGTTACCTGTCTGATCTAGGCAATGTATTGATATTGTTTGTACCTGATTCTCTTTTCAGGAACTAACTACTGTAATGGAAAATTCCAGCGCTTCAATAGCAGAAGCATTTCATGCATATAACGTTACAACTGACCGCTGGTACTGGACTCTACGAGTATTCCTGGCATTTTTTACGATTCTCGGAAACACGCCGTTGATATTTCTCCTCATAACTAGGCGCAAGCTTCGAAGCAACCTGTCAAACCGGTTTGTTCTGTCCTTAAACATAGCGGACCTATGCGTAGGCCTGTTCGTGACACCCCCTGAGCTACTATGCACATACTGGATAGTGTGTTCCAGAAGAATTCAGCTGGCCATGTACGAGTTCTTCGTCTATACATCACTGCTGTGTCTGTGCGTGGTGACCTGGGACCGCTACAAGTCAGTCACTCGTCCGCTGACCTACCCCGTTGTGATTGCCGTCAAGCAGTACCTTATTCCTATCATCATATGCTGGGCTCTTCCTTTTGTTGTAACCCTCCTTCACTTCACGTATCTGGTCGAAGACCTTGAAGATCAGGCGACGGGGATGAAAGTGTTTACTATTGTCGAGACTGTTTTGTTTATAGGGCTTCCTTGCCTTGCATTACCTCTGGCGTATCTACATATCGTCTGCATCATACAGAGACACAAAGAACGCGAAAAAAGGCTCAAAGACCAAGTGGATTTTAACTACTCCACTGCCATGAGTGACGATGATGCGTTAAGAGAAACAGAATTCACCGCTCCAAATCTCACGGTGGCACCTGCGAGAGACAGGGCTCAAAGTGAAATGTCAAGTGTTGGATTAGATTCCGATATCGAACGCTCCACTGACGCCAGAAATGTACCGCTGAAGACAAAACCAAGGCATCCAAACCATGATCGTTCTATCACAGTTCTTGGCATAGTGATCATAGTGTTCGTTGCCTGTTGGGCGTTTGCGGCCTATCTTCATTTTAAGCAATCATTCAGTGTCACAGATGTGGCTAAGATCGCTCACTCAGCTATAGAAACGCCCATGAATTTGTCGTGGCTGTTTCTCCTGGCTCACTCAGCCCTTAATCCCTTTATTTACGGGCTTGTTAAGAGAGACATAAAGAAGGAGCTAACAAAATGTCTGATGTGTCGGAGATAGAGAAACTGAAGAATTTCAAAACATAAACACCATACGTATCAAATCAGTGGAGAAAAAAAAATACCATGAATTATTTGAAGATGAATGCCATTGACAAGCAATATAGAAAGAGAATTTAGGATATAAGAAATGAAATGTCAGATTATCTCGTAAGATAGTAAGAAATTACTGGATTCATTCAGTTTCTGTGTAATGACAAGAATTATATGTAAAATATTTGATTATTAAGGCTTCGCTTTAAATCATGCCAAATCCGATTCCACTAACTGAGTAAGCCAATCAAAACACTTCATTGTTGTCAATTGTTGAGCTGTTTCTTCGCGCGTTTGTAAATACTTTTCTACAAATTTTAGCGTTTAAACCAAAAGAGATCTTATGTAAGTTTCCCGTAAAAGGCGCGAGTGGAATTGACGTCATACGACATAACACAACTACCCTGTGACGGTCGACATCATGGTTCATAGGAAAGGTTCCAACATCAACAACCACCATTTTATTTTGCATAATACAGAGAATATCATGCTGCAAAAGAATACATTAAACTTAAATAAGCAAAAAAAACTACTCAAAATAGTAAAAACTAAACGAGCTGAGTAGTTACAAGAATCATTACGCTTTAAATCGGTTGTAGGAAAAATAAAGAAAGGAAGAGGTAGAGGTATAGCGTTCCCTCTACTTTCCAGTAATTCTAACATGTATAATCTACCATCTGTACATATGACGGCGTTAAACCTGATTAAATCAGTTTCACTTCGCCATCGAAAGTTGTTTGTATTTCCTTTGGCTTTGCATTATAGCGTTCCGCGATTGGCTTAAGATATTTCTTGCCTCTTTGTCATCCAGTCAGAAGTTAAACCAAAACCAATCTCGACCCGGCTGATTCACTCACGTTTTCCCCCGCTTCGTGCCAGCTTCATGTATTTGATTGTAGTTTTGATTGGTTCACCGGATTGCTTGTGTGCTTTGTGATTGGCTAGAGTGATTATTTTAGTTTTGGTTTCACGACACTCAATAATTGAGTGTCGTAAGGATTTGAGAGAATTTATAAGCAGCTGAACCCTGCTAATTCGAACTCGGTTATTTCGCGGAATTTCCAGTCCATACCCTCCGACCTCTCTATTCTTAAGGCGAACTGCTGCCACAGATAATTCCATACTGGCGTACAGCCAATCAGTTAGAGTAAACATTTTATGGTAGAAATCAAAACAGCTCTAAAGGCTGGTTTTCACTAGCGACGGAGTCGTAGTCGGAGTCGTAGAGTGATACGATCTAGTGAAAATCAAACAGACGGAGTCGGAAGCAGAACACCCATTCCGCTTGTGACCCCGTTCCTTACGATCTAGTCACAACTTAATTGTCGGAGTCGCAAGCAGAAGCGGAAGAATAAACCAATTACAACGTTCGATCCCGGGCCTTGTTGGTTGGTTCTTCCGCTTCTACTTCCGACTCCGACAATCTAGTTTTCACTGGATCATAAGCGACGGAGTCGTAAACGGAATCGGAAGAAATGGAAACGTTCTGATTCTTCCGACTCCGATTCCGTCAAGCTTATGATCGACTCCGCTTACGACTCCGATTTTCGATTTTCATTAGGTCTTACGACTCCAAACCAGCCTTAATACGGCGTGCACGCGTCTATTGCTACCTTTTGGGTGGGTGGGTACCAGATGGGGGGCGCATTCTAACTCACAAATTCCAGCGAATCTGAGATCGGATTATGCTTTCATATTTGCTTCTGTTTGATAATACTTCTTCCTAAAGAACGTGGACAAGAGTGGGCTAAAAATATAAGATGAATACCAGGTCCACTTCTTTTGTCTGATACAGCTCGGATGTAATTGGTACCCATGTCAACTTTAATCCGTTATCGGACTACCTCTACATGGTCCGAGCACGGATGAAAATTGGCTCGAGTAGCAATGTTATCAGAACATTTACAAAAATTTCGTGTAGTATAAATAAACCTATGGTTAGTCAAAATGATAGCTTTGACGATGGTTGCAAAAGTGGAGGAGAGGGATGGGGGGTGATAAGATTGTGATAGCCTCACTTTCCTTTCGTTTACTTAGATTGCATCCATTCGGATAAAAGATGCAACAATTACACACAAACTTCTCACACAAGGATCATCCAGCTCACATCATCACCAAATTTATTAGCCTTTTCCACTGAGTAACCAAGATACAAATTATTGTACAATAAAATATACTATGACAACGTGAGTTTACAATCATTTTGTATTTTTTTTCCAGCCGTTTTATGCGCTAGAATCAACATTACTACACAACCAATCTGTTACTTTACGACAGTTTGGCTTCCTCCTGTTCACAAGCTACTACTGTTGTTAACGGTAACATGCGATTGAAAACGAAGGAGTGTACCACTCCTCCCTGCGAACAAACGAAAGCCAACAAAACGTAAAGCAATGACGAGTTGCCCAAATAAGGAATGCCGCAAGCATGCGACCTCTGGCGCCAAGAGAATTTTGGCGCCAAAATTGTCTTGACCTACTCATGTCTATAGAATACTCATATTTTACAGAATTCTCTTAAGCAATATTTAATCGGCTGACTGACGCCTTTAAATCGCCACTTAGAATTACAAACCCACCCACTCAGTCCACATATACAGATCAGAGCGGAATAATTTCACGCCAGCACTGAAGTATTTTGTTAAATATTAAAAATTTTCAAAACCTTAAGATGAAATATGAACGAGCATTCGGGCATCTTGAGTCGCAACTTTTCAGACAGAAACTTGTTCTGTTCTAAACTGGTGGGAACAGATTAATCAACATTACTATTCCTAAACTATCAAACAATTGGTCTCTAACGAAGATTTGCGTCCTTTACAAACTAAGCGGTCTTGCAAACTATATAAAGCACTTAGATTAAAACAAAACTCCTTGCAAAATTTAAGCAAATTAAAACCCCAACATAGACCAAATTGTATAAATACGGCGGAAAAACCACAGAACTAATTTCCGGGCGCCTTTAATTTAAATGCAACTTCACTCACACAGCACACTTATGTAGCAACCACGAGGAACTCATAAAAAAGCAAAGCCAAAATTTGGACAAACATGTTGGAAAATGTGAAAAAATGTAACGTATACGACATATTACTTGACTTAATCACCAAAATTAAATGAAGACAACTGAACCATTGTTGACGTAAATCGCTGACCTAGCCAAAAAATTCACAATCTTATTTGACGTAACTCGCTCTTTAGAACTAATCTATCTAAAATGACGACACACATCCATTGCTTATTACGACACGAGAAATTGTCAACAAAGTCAAATCACAACAATTTTTTTTTCACAATATATATATATAAAATCTATGGACACCACGTTAGTAAAGGGATTATTAATGATTCTTGAAAGAATAAACAAATGCCTTCTGTCAGTTGAAGAGTTATAAATATTTCGCCTGTAATATCCCTTAGCACGCGCGCCTTTCCAGCCGCCATCTGGGTTTTCCCCACAATGCTGGGAGAGTCAAATATCGACTGGGAAAACGTCTCGCTTACATGGGGTCTAACATTTATTAACCACAAATTAGACGTCAGTAAATTCTTCAACGACAATACGTCATTGTCCTTCAAACAACGTTCGTTGAAACAAATAATCCGTAAACTTAATCTTGAACCCACATTTCCCACGGCCACGTAAAACAGAGTGAGGCCTGAGTACGCTCCCTAAACTCTCGTGGTCATTTTTACACGAACAAATGTTTCTTCACGATCGAGAGGAAATCCACGTGAGTCGCCAGGCTTTAGAGGCCGAAACAAGACGGCGTTGGTCACTAACAATGACAACTGGTGGCGATTTGATCATGAGCACCTATTCCCAAGAATTTCAAGGAGTCCACTAGAGACTGGCAATAGCCGATTAACGCGATCATTTGATTGATTGCTTTAAATCAATCCAAATTATTATCAATTACGAGTCAAATGGTAGTCTTTTTTCTTCTCGTTCGTCCACATCGTTCCGAGGGCCTCTCTTTATCACACTGAGTTGTGACCGAATTCTTAACAAACTAATCACTTGAAAAGCCAACAAAAATTCTTTGACATCCTCTGACGCCTCTGAAACCAATACCTCATATATATCCCTGCTCGTCTAGCTGACCTGCACTAGAGCCTTAAACAGTCAGTGTCCTGCACACCTTGGACAAACTTTTCATTGAAAACCTAGACCACTGACCGACACTTTAAAAGTGCTTTGATTTCTTAACATGATTAGGAACAAACAAACAAGTCCAGTTAAACTGGGGCATAATCAAACACATAGCAAAAAAAACACTCCATTAAACGCATAGAATAAAAAAAGTTTAACCACTTTCAGTCGATTTGATTCGTTGAATGATCTATAGTCTAACGAAGGAATTACACGAATATAACACACGCACTCTTACAAGTAATTAGATAGGCTTACAATCTGTACATAGAAGATTCCTAATTAAACAAATGATTTTTTTTTGCTTTCACTCTTGTACGCGGATGTCGCCGCTACAACCTGACGTCATTTTTGACGTATCCATGACATCATCGTTAGCCAATGAGGACGCACAGGAGCCGCGGTAGCTGTTTAACCCACTGAATGCATCGCGCTCCCCAGGGATATCACTTCCCTTCCCACTGAAGCCAAGCCCCACGGGGGCCCCACGGGAGATCACGTTAGGATTAAAGGGCTTCATGATACACCGCGGATCCGGAAGTCTCCCCGCCTTCTGCACATCTCTGAAGGCCAGTTCCTGCGCGAGTTTCCGGTCCTGTCTTTCCTGCTGTTCGCGCTCTTGTTTCTGTAGAAGTTGTCTACGCTCCTGCAGCAACCTCATGTGTTCTTCACGCTTCCTTCTTTTTACTTCAGCTTCGCTCTCCATGCTGTCAATGGTCAGGCTGCAATCGGATGCGTCCTGGAAAGAGCGAAGGAAATGATAAGATTTACAACCGAGCTATGTTACAATATGTCGAGCAATGTTCGCGATGAAAACTGTGTGTAGACGTTTCAAGTGGATTCCACTCGTACCTGTCCCCTCCTGACCTGCTCACTGCCCGGTTGATCTCCACCGACGCGGGTCTGGGGCGACAGATCGCTGCCCCGGGTTTCTGGAGTTGTAGTGGAGCTATTTTGATCCATCTGCTCCTGAAGGACCCGAGCATACTGTTCATCTTTCTTGATCTGCTCCTCTTTCCTGATAAGTAAGAACAAAAAAACAATCAGTTGGACTAAGCATGTGACAATTCCAGCACTTGCAAAGTGGGTCATGGGAATGAAGTCTGCTCATGAATCTCATCGTTCTAATCTCTTAACTCCGCCATTGCCGGTCCCAAGCCCTGGATGAAAAAGGAGGAGGGTTGGGGCATGGGGCTAGAAACCCCATCCTGTAAAAAAACATCATGCTACAGAAACGCCTTCAAGAATAACTCAAGGCATCTCAGCTCTTGGGAGGGAAGGTTCTCCGTTGAGAATACAGATGACGCCGTACGAAGGAAGCTGGAGGATTCTGGAAGCCACAAGGCCGACTACCCTCTCTTGCAACCCGTTCTAGTCTTCACCAGTTCTTGTATTTCATTTAAGTATTTCTACCATATCAAATTATTGGTAGTCAAAGCTCAATTCGATTTTCATACCAGTCTTATCTCATGAATCAAAACAAAAGCACGCCTAGTCCCTTAATGAGCAGACTGCTTTTGAACCAAATCTCACTTAATTCCCTTATTGTCCAATTCATTGTTTCTTTTAACTAGTAGGGTAGCGTTTCAACGTACCTTGACCATTCATCTAAGTCAATAAATGGTTGCCAAAGCTTGCGAACCTGGATGAGACACAAAAAGTGGATTGTGGTTAGCTACGACAAGTACTTCAATGCCTCTCAGTTCAGTGGCCATCTGGCTAACACAGACTTCACAATAAACTTCTTTTGGATTTGCCGCAGTTCGTCTAGTTTTCCATACATTCACTATGTGAAACTTCCCAAAACCAGCCATAAATCCATGATAAAGAGAACCTTAATATAAAATGGAGAACAGTATTTCTTGCTACACCTTGCACATTTAAGCTTTAACTGGTCTCCGTGTTTCAGAAACCACTGCATTATGTACGAAAACATGGCCAAGTTTGCAGCATACCTCACTGCCATGGTGTGGACTCCATATTGGTGCTGTGTCGGTGATGGTGGGAGGAGGTGGCAAAGCATTGCTGTCATCAGGAAAGTTTCTCCAGATGTAGTCAGCCTCGCCACTATGTTGCCACCCTACAGGAGACTGTTGCCTAGGCGACAAACTAGAGTTTGATGATTGGCTGGCTGCAGGAGAGTGGCTGAGTGGGGACCCACTGCTGACACCGCTGTCAGTGTCCTTCCTGGGGATCCACAACTCTAGGAGGTCGCAATCAGTGGCTGTGTCGCTACTCCGTGGAGACGTTGAATCAGCATTCTGGCAAATTGCAATATATGTGTATATCAGTATAGGCCTTTTCAAAAAGTTGAAACATCCTTAATTACCAAATCACTAACATTTCTTACATTGGACTCTACCAAAGAAACGAGTCAATGAGTTAGCTACGTTAATCAAGAATCTTTTTAATACCGGTCATATTTTCCCATAATATATTTCAAAATTTTAAAGTATCACAGCCTGTTTCAAATATGTTTTCGTTATTCCCCTCACATCGAGAGCCGAATTTCATTTCCATGATTTCTCCATGGCAGCGACTGGCATTTCAACTTAGGCACCAGTCCCAAAACGTTCGTCACCATGATGACTAAAACGGTCGCAACTTAGAGGGTTGCCGACTTGGCTCTCAGTTTGGACAAAAGAGACAAAGCTGAAGTCCAGCATGAGCACAAACCTTTTCATCATGTAGGTCAGCAGGAACAAATGGACTTCTTCCCCGAGGCAGTAAAATCCCTCTTCCAGCCATGTCAGGAGTTTCAAAAAATGCTCGTGAATATGGGTTATAATCACTGCGTCCAGGATATGATGGATACCCCATGACATTCTGGTGAAGATGGTCGTAAGATACTGGTCTTCCAGGAAAAGGTGAGCTGTAGAAGTCTGGTGTTTGGTGGCTGCAAGGAAATGAAAAACATCAATGACAATGAAACAACGATGATAAAGGTAAAGTCTGCATACAAGCCAAGTGGCCCACCAGGCCAGTGCTTATCCTGGTTTCTGTAGCATGAANAACACAACACAATGTCCCCGGCCAGGGCTCGAACCCGGACCGCTCGATCCGGAGACGAGCACACTAACCATGAGGCCACAGTATTAAATAAATGTGCCTTTGTACACTTACAAAGTAGATCTTGCTTACATTTTTAGATATGGAAGCAGGTATCAAAATAAGTTATTCACTGGCTTATTTAACTTCCACGACACCCAATTTTGCTGTTGATAAAAATTCTTTAAAAAGCAGGATGGTGAAAGGTATATAGACCAAAAGTCATCAGTTATGAAATTCATCAAACACTGAATTTGCAGAACTGCATGTAATACAAAACATTTTAATATTACAGCGTAAATCTACAGCTACACATACCAGTGTTGAGAATCCTTACAATGTAGTTTAAAGGTTGATTAATTTCCAGGCACAAGGACTGATATAACATTGGTACAACAGTGCAGTTAATAAATGTTATAAGCTGAATGGTTATTTGAGGTCAAAAGGTGGAAGCCTCTTCAGGGGTACTGTAGACCTACCTGTAAGGGTAAGGTGTAGGATCTGAAGGATAGCCAAATGAATGGTCATAAGCCTGATAACCGCAAGGCTGTTGAGGCATTCGCTGTCTTGCTCTTCCGCTGTACATGGATGGATGTTCAATGCGTCCTGGGTGGTGGTCAATATGGCCATTTGTCATGCCATTTAACCCTTCATCCTGGACAGTCAAGGGTGAGTTCCGGGGTGGAGTCATAACACCTGTGAACAGTTGAAAACAGTGATAAATTTAAACCGGTCAGTCATGTACCAGTAACAAGCAAAACACCTGCATACAGTGAAACTACTCTAAGCGAGACCGCCCGACAATATTTTCTACAAATTTATCAATTAAAATTGTGGAGGTTAACAATAGTTTTCCAACAAATTTTCGATGCAACCAAGATGTACATTACAAAGGCAACAGATTTGTTGTCATTCTGAATAGTGACTATTTGGTAACTACATGTATCAGTAGTCAATTTGCAAAGAATTTGTTGAAGTGGCCTTTGTTGGAGTAGTCGCACTGTAAACTCCTTTTGTGAGGCAATGATACCCAATAAAACAAAATGCAGGAAGGAAAATTATTGCAAGCTGGAAGCCTCACTGTCTTTCAAGAAAGGATGGGATGAATGGATGAACTTTAATCTAATAAAACATGATAAAATGTGAAGCTTTGGCTTGCTGGGCCATATTAAATGATTGTACCCTCTACCCCTTTCCCTGCCCAACCCAAATCCCCAAAGCTGTTCAGTGGTATTAATAATACATACTTGGTTAAAACATAGCATTCTTACCAACAGCAACGTCCTTTCCTCTTGACACAACATTGGAATATGAGTTTCCAGGAGGTGCTGGTGGACCGTAATACTGGACATACCCTCTACTATCACTTCCTGGAGAAGAAACGTAGGGTGACTGCACATGATCATAAGGTGAGCGAGGTCCACAGTAACCATCGTTTGAGTACACAGTCATCTGCTTCATCCTCTGTGTTATAATTTGTTCCTGACTATCTCGACGATTAATCTGGGTTGGAGCTCCATAGCAAGGAGTGGGTTGTGGCATATCACCTTAAGACAAAGCAGTTGTTCTTGTGAGAACAGAACAAAAGAGGACATTTTTAACTACAAGGTCAAAAGAATATTACACTAAAATGCAATAATCAACTTCGAAACTCCTACCAGAAGAAATATAGTGTGGGGAAGATCGTGCAGAGCCATTGATACCATTTGTGGGAGCTTGGGTAGCAGTAGGACTGGAGTCAGATCCATTTTCAAGAGGTGAGAACTGATCAGGGCCAGCACCTGGGCCTGATCCTCTAGGAATGGCTGTAGGCCGAGGCCTTGTAGTTCTTCTTTTACTAAACCTGAGAGGAAAGATGTTATGTTGATCACTTGCTCAACAGATTTTTTATAACTATAAATGTTAGGAGATATTAAATTTCAAAGAGTTACATGGCATGCTCTCTCACTGTATGCTAGTTGTTTTGCTTGAGGATAAGTATTAAACACATCTGTGAATAGACCATATTCATATTCTTGGTAGTGGACTGGAACTACAGTCAAACCTCTATTAAGCAGCCACCTATTAAGCCGCCACCCCTTATTAAGTGTCCAGTTACCAAAGTCCCTAAATTATTGTCAGTAAAATACTGTAAATAAAACCCCTATTATCCAGCCACCTCTATTATCCAGCCACCTTTTGGTGAGGTTTTTTCTGTTGTCTTTACCCCTATTAAACAGCCACCCAAAATTTAATACAGGCAAATCAACATTGTTTTCGAAAAGGCGATGGAAGATAAGAGTCCAAAATAGAAGGTGACAAGTGATAGAAGCATTCAATCATGACTGTCTTAAAGTGACTCCATGTTCACTGAGACATTGACCCGATGGTGAAAATATTCAAGGTAAACAAACCCCTGTTAAGCAGCAAATCCCTATTAAGTGGCCACCTTCCATGACATTTTTGTTATTAAATTTTAATCTCTTTGTATGATATTCCCCCGCATGAGCCTCCATCCAGTCCAATACTGAGAATATATGTATGAATATGGCCTATTGATGCCAACTTTCTTGCCTTACTATTACAAACTGGCTGAATTGTCTTAACATAAATTAATGCCAAATGTGGACACTTAAGAGCTCTCCCAAAGTTGTTATCATGTTTGCATTGCGGGAAAATGATGACACCTACTTCTCAAGCTCCTCCTCTGAATGTGCAAATGTACAGTGCATTCCTCTGGGACATCCACCTCTGGTGTGATCCCGACACATGCTGGTTTTAAATTTGTTGTTGTTGTGAGGCTAAAAAAGAGGATGGCACCATTTAGACCTCATATATGTTTACTTTGTCAGACAAGCTGTAACATTAAGTCTTATAATAATGTGTATTATCGTTTGTCTCACGATGTAGTCACTTGAGGATGTAGATCGCTACGTTTCGACTACTTACTGCTAGTCTTCTTCAGGCTATAAGGTTGACTGATTGCACTGTATCATTTATATCACAAAGGTCGGCTGTGATTGGTGCATTTTGATCTTCCTATTGTTCCATTGTTCCGGCGAGTAGCTGTTCCCTCAGTGGTCTGCTGTTGTACCGTTCTCCTGTTGTTGCAGACCACTGAATTTGTGTTTGAAAAAACACAAATTTATAACTACAATCTTTTCAAAACATTTCCATGTTACAAGGTGTACATGTGCAATTCTATAATACAGTACAACTGTATAGAGCAGTTAATTAGTACAGTGTAATTCTAGTCAATTTACAGTTGGTTAATTATTTTGTAACCACTGGATACTTATCAACAGATGTACATTTCCCGATATTAACTGGGGACACATTTTTCAGAATCCTCACCTGTGGTGGATCACTGGAGCCTCTCATTCCTTTGCCATATGACTAGTGTATTAAAGAAAAAAACTCATCTGAGTACTTCTATGCAGGTATCACAATGTACACTTTGGACTGATGCTTGTTGTGGTAAAGGTAAAGTTCATTCCAAGTCAGAGGGGCAAGGTGCTAACTAGTGTTTATCTTAAGACTAGGTTCTTGCACACTTTAAATGCAAAATTTACATGTACATGTAGTAATTTTTTCAAACTGTTTCCAAATCCATTAATATGTTCTTTTTTCACACTCAAGGTGTCCTTGAACACAGGAACTAAAACTGTAATGTGCTGAAAACCTTAAGTCTGAAGGATACCTACTACCTGCCTACTGTGAATGGAAATTGACAGTGAAGGAATGTATCCACATGATAGTAAAGTAAAAGCAGTATGGTGGCAAGAGCTCTCTAGATGAAATTTACATGACCTACATGGTGTTCAACATGCTAAGATAGCTTTAACTCAGCAAATAAGCATTTTATCCTGCTTGGAAAAGAACTCCAATTTTTTTCCCATTTTTTCAACTCTTATTTTTCGTGCTTTTCCAGATCTGGAAAACACGCTTGCATACTTCCACGCATTTTCAAAAATTCCAAACTCCGTATGAAGCCTGTGCATATCTCAAATTAAATCAGAACTTTGAAAATTTTGTTCTAACACATAAATAAAGCACCACTGGATCAATGCTCTATCAAGTAAGGGCAGCACACAGCCCACAACATCTTATAACTTTACAATCCCCTGCCAGACTACAAATTCTGAAGCACCCAGAATTAAGAATGTTTCAACAGGTTTGTTAAGATCAGGTACATTGCAGAAGGAGTATTAAACTGTAAACTTAATACAACTGCACCTACTTTTGAAAAGTCAACAAGTCCATTGACCACAGAGTGCACTGAAGTCATAGCTTGTTCTAACTCTTTCCACTCTGGACATGTTGCTTCTGTGGAAGACAATCAAACAAACGCAGCTCATTTAACAATTTAGTTGCAATCAATTGCATCTTGTTAAGAAGAAAGCACAAGCAGTACATTTCTGTCCTCCTCAAGGTCAAGTCTGCATATGAGCCACAGGGCCTATCAAGCCAGAACTTATCCCAGGTTCTGTAGCATGAAGCAACTAGGAATATTTCTACTCCCCCCTAGATGGAATGCTAGTCAATTGCAGGGTTACCCACCTGCATTAAATTCACTGGTACCCATTCATACAACTGGGTGGAGAGAGGCACTGCGAGAGTGAAGTGTCTTGCCTAAGAACAAAGCGCTATGTCCCCAGCAAGGGCTTAAACCTGGAACAGTCCGTCCAGGGTCCAGCGCACTAACCATGAGGCCAACACACCAACTTCAGGTACATTTAGCGTTGGTTCTCTAGTTTCTAACAAAAACATGGAAACTCTAGCGAGAGAAAAGCATCAATTCCACACACACCTGGAGAGGCATCAATCTGGGAAAGTAATTCAAACTGGTCTCGCATCTGGCAGAGATTTCCAGGATCCCCAGATCTCTGAAGAGCGATGATTAATTCCTGAATACTCTGAGAAAATGAGGCAGGAGATTGGAGCTACAACAGAACAAAATAGTTATGGATGAACGAACATAATAGGAAATAATTCCACGATGTAATGTTAACACAAACAATACAGGGGTTTGGAAACGTTGACTGCAATTTATAATCAAAGACCTCAAATACAGTAAAGCCTCACATAGATATATTGAAGTACAGGAACATTTTGAAGTATTCGAATAGGCCATATAGACTATGGACAATGTATTATGTGTACTACATATATTATTTTGATCCCATGAAGTTAAGTATTGCACCTTGTCAATGATAGACTGCATGTGAGACTTGTGATCCAGGTCGCCATACAACAGTGAGGACCACTGGTCTGGGAGAATGCGCAGTCCTGCCTCTGTAGCAATTTGCACTATTTGTGCATCGTGTTCCTTCCGCAAAGCATCATAGGTACGGTACTGAAAAGCAAATATCTGGTAACTACCTTTTTCTTGACAGATTATCATCAACATTAATGTCAACACACTAAACAAATCTTAAATCAATTTTACAACACATCCTGATTTTCATTTTCTCTGTTTCAGATTATGGCAGCATGTATAAAACAAAAAGCTTCAAACTGAAAACAAATGTAAATCACAACATCTACAAGAACCAATTAATTTTGATTACTCTTTAAGGTTCACATGTAATCTCACAATGAAATAGAAACTGTACCTGCTCTTTAAGCTGCATTAGAGATGATTCATTGTTCTTTTTTTCAACCTGAAAAAAAATTAACTGTCAACACAAACATTTCCTAAGAAAATGTATGTCCACAGTAAAGCCTATTATATAATTTTCATTCTTCACCAGCATTTAAACACAAAAGATCAATTGAAACAAATAGAAGACCTTGTGAAAATTTATTAGACAGTCTTGTCTAACTACCAACAAACTTGATTTTGCCTCTAACTAACCTTGTGTTGAGTTATTAACAAAAATCAGTGAAGTGTAACTCTGTACCTTAAAACAGGATGCTCTGTAAAGCAACTGTACTACATGACCAATGCTTGTTTTAGAAGCTTGTGGAAACTGGGATTCCAGCTTCTGAACCACAAACAGAACTAAAACTTTCCTAGACAATGCCTCTCCTCCCTCAAGAGCCAACAAAATCAGTTTCAAAGCCTCTTCTTGCATTGCTGGTCCTAAAAACTGACAACCACGATTCCGCACAGCAGCCCAGAGATTTGCAGACAGCTGTTGCTGATTTTGATGTAATAAAATGAGCTCCGTTACGGTCCGTTCTCCAAGGCTTCTGGCGGCACGCATGGCCCTAGTGCGACCATCAGCCTCGGCAAGCTGACAGTTAACCAGTGTCACAAGCTTGCGCTGCATTGGTCTTGTGAGGATATTGTTTCCATTGCCGTTCAGAGAGCCATTACAGCCATTGGTTGTTCCATTGATAGTTCCATTAGCAGCACCGGTGACAGGCCTTAAGAACAATGCAAGTTTTTCAATACAATGTTTGGATGTTCTGTATTGAGCAGCATTGTTCTGTACACTTTCTATGTTTGGAAGTTCTTCATCTGGCACTTCCACTCCTACTAACTGAAGCAATGCGTAGTTGAAAGGAAGCTTAGATATGTCCATGTCAACAACAGCCTGATCAAATGGACACTGCGTTTTAGACAGCTTTGACAAGCAGGAAACGCACAGTGTGTGTCCACATCCCAGGCTAATTGGCTTTCTTTCGTGCTCATCAAATTCGTTGTAGCATATTGGGCACTGGAGAAACTCTGTCCACTGAGGTGTTTGAATTGGCATGATTGATATCAGCTATTGTAGATTTGTTGAAATTAATTGATGCTAAATACCATGGGTATCCTGTAATAAAACATAACACAATCAGAAATGAAATCACTGCAGCAGTAACCAGTATTTATGAGATACAGTCAACCCTCCACTAACAGACACTCTCATAAGCAGACAGCTCTACTTACAGACACTGTTTTCAATTCCCCTTTTTACATGTACCAACCGGTCAAACTCTGTATCTACAAACTCCCGTAAGCAGGCACTCTCTCCAAAGTGAAAGCGGACTCTTTTCAAAATAAAAATTGGATTTTTCTTTTGCTTACACTCCCTCATAAGGGGACACCCACATAAGCCCCGTTCCACTTTTTGTTGAAGGTATACTGCATACTCTATATTTCTTTTTTTAGTTTGAACATTTGACATCAATAAAGAGTTTCAGTTGCTATTTTTGGCTCCCAATAAAACATGAAATTAACACCCGCCAATGTAACTCTCCTGTAAGCGAACATCCACCATATTTTTCTTGAGTATCTGCTTATGGGAATAATTCTTCTAAACTGACCGCAATTCCTGAGTGTGTCCACTTACAAGAGAGTTGACTGTATTTAAAGAAATATATAGGAAGGTCATGAAAAGAAATTTTGTCAGTGACTTAGCACTTAAAATAAATAGCTGCTGATAAATAGCTGATGTGGTACACTGAGGACATATTGTGAGGAAGCATAATATTATTAGGACTCAAGGCACAGATTATATTTTAAACATCTACATGCAAAACAAAACCATTTCACTTCCTATTGAGCAAAAGATAACAATTAGATGGAAAAAATATCGAAGCGTAAAACAGGGCTGTGCTCTATAATCACCCAGGTGCCACAAGCAACTAACTTATGCCTTTGGGCGACTGGAAAAACGGACTTTTTCATATACGCTTAAGTACTGGGCACCCAGGATTTCATGCTGAGGAACCTTTGGGCTCCTCATAATTTTTGTTAGACCACAGTTCTGTAAAGACAAAATATATGTACACACAAACACCCACTAACACTTAACTGCTATTGGTCAATTTTCAAAGAATTTTGTTCCTGAAATTTGGTTTCTTAGAAATGATAATTATGACAGAGCAACAGGTTCCAAACATACTTTATCTATTGCTAAAAGTTTATTCCAAAGATAATATTTAAAAAGGCTGCAAAGGATTTTAACTGTATTACCCGAAAGAGATGCAACAAATATGACCTTGCATCCACCACAGCAGAGAACATGCAAATTATTGAAAGAACACACAATTGAAAATGCTTAGACTCTTGCAAGTAAGTTAAAGTTACAGCTTTTTCACCAACAAGTCCCGCAACATTTTGCTTTGAAATTCACCCTTTTGTCTGAAACTTGAAAACAGTTTTTAGAGCTACATGTACTTGAGTCAGCTGATGGCTGGTGGCCAATAACATTACACTCTGCTGAGTCATACAGTCACGTGTCAAAAGTGAAAGTGTTTCCATACAGCTGCTCAAACAGATTTCCAGGAAAAAGGAAATGCTTAGCATACCTACTCATGAAATTAGCAGTATCTTATACTCTATATTTTATTTAAAAAATTGGAAAGTACATTATTTTACTCCACCAAGTTTAAAAGTACAGAAGTAAAACAAAACTTGGCGAATAGCTTAAAAGATGAGCCAAAGATAAAAATTATGTCATCTCCTGAAGGCAGAAAGTCTCTTAAATTTAGCAACAAAATTAATGCACTTGCCTCCTCAACTTTTAAGTAAGTGTACTGAAACATAAACACTGTTGCTAACCTAATTTTAAAATGCTCTTGCCATTTCAGATTTGTAAACGCTCATTCTTTAGTAGTTTGACATCACTATTAAATATGAGCTGAATGACATGAGTTTTGTGCATAATAATTCTAACCAAACACTATAGTAAGGTATTTCTTGCATTTTCAAGATTTCTGCACGTAAAAGGTTGATGTTCTCAATAGAATCAAAGGCTCTAAATTTAAACAAGACTTGGCTTCCTGTTTACATATTTTAGAGTCAACCTTGCATCAAAGAATTTGCCTAACAAAATAACACCATCCCACGCTGCAAAGGACCAAAAACTCACCTAAACCGCCAGATACTACTTGAAATAAGACTGAAAGCATTTCTCCCAGTGTACATCAAAAACTAAAATTGTACATGTACAATGAAAATGCTATTTCAAACCCTACAGGTTTAGTTCTAAGAAAACTGAACTAAAATCACACATTTTCTCTGTACACAAAAGAAATCAAAAATTCCCTTTAGTCACCTGACTACGTTCTGGTTTGACCCGGATAACCTGAAAGTACGACAAGAGTGGAAACTAAAGATTAAGAGAACGAGTCATCCACTAACTCTAAATGGTCATTTGAGGTTCTCACATAAAACCAGTCTGAATTACATTGCACCTTGCAGTTCAGTAAAAGAGTAGTTACTAAAACTGTGTCCAGAATGAAAATTTTATCAACATTATCTGTGATTAGCTTTTGAAGTTGAGGAGTAATAAAACAAACAAAATTGCTCTCAAATTAAGCAATTCTTACTTTCAATATAACAGTTTGACCCTATGTTGTGCTGAGACTTGCTAATCATGTGATATGCAATAACCAGCTCAGAAAAATACCGTTTGTACATGTTGCTATAAATGGCTGCAAATGACGTTATTTTGCGAGTGTGTTCAAACACATTTACTGTCACCCAGTTTTCCAATTCAGAAGGCGCCGACCGTCAAAAACTAGAAGAATTCTTTGTAAAATATTACAACTGCAGCGTGTTGGCGACTGTTACGTAGTCATAATTTATGTTTGTAATGAGATTACAGCTGGGAATGAAAATTAATTCCTTTCAAAGTTGATCAAAGCACTTAACTATAATTTTAAAATGTTCGAATAAAGTTTTGTTCAAAGGTCTTAAAGGATTTGTCTTTGGTTCCTTTGATTCTCGACCAACATGTTTCGTGACCCTAGCGAAATATGCATTCGTAAGCACAAACCATAAGAATTGGACTTCCTGTAGCAGAACGAGTCACAAACAACCGTACTAATATTGAACTTTCTCAGAAGCTTCAGTGAAGAAAATAACACTAAAATGAGAAGTTTTGATCCTTTCTAAACTTCAGCAAACAATTTCCGCTATTATACGTCGCTTAGACACAGAACAAACACTGGCGAAAGTGCCGAGGCTTTGAAATTCTTTCGACTGCCTTCAGGGTCATATTTGACGAATGCATAACAAAGCTCAATATGATCGATCGCACTCTGAATAACAGATTATTCCAAAATAATAAATCATACATGTCGATAGAAAAAGCAACGACGAAACAGTACTACCTTAGAAAGGGCAAACTTTGTCTCTACAATAGCAATCCAGCATAAGCAGCATATTTTCTATTGAAATTTCTGAACAGTTGACAAGCCTGAACAAAGAACCACAACATTACGACAACGCGACAGATTTAGAACAGCTTCATCGTGATAGAAATTCGCCGATTTCTTTCAAAAGAGATCGCTTTTACAGTCTCAGGACTTACAAATAATTACAGAAACTGACGAAAACTTCACGAGGAGCATTTTAACCCCCGAGAAGAAAAACAATGCAAAGTTACTTGTTTCTGCACGTTCCTGAGACTGCAAGAACGATCATGATGCGGCGCTTCACGCCTCATAAACTCACCTTAAACATTAAGAGAAAACGCTATCCAAGACTGGAAGATACTTGTCTGCACAAATAATGCCTTTAGCTATCCACTAGGCTTTACAAGAAAGCAGGAACTTTACGATCTATCGCAGCAAATCGTTGTACGGTTCTCCCCGCAAGGAAGTCGAGTTTCGCTTCCACAAAGAGGAATTTTAAGCGTATGGACACACAAAAGATGTCGTTATTCAGTCCTTGAACACTCCCAAAGGAAGTATGATGTAAATTTTCAACTCTGGTGAATGAGGTGAACCCCTCACATTTGAAAATCCCTGTTCGAGTCGATGGATTTATGTTGCGCTGTTCGAGAGCTTCGTCAGTTCCATCATGACCGATCGGTATACGCCATGACCGGATAAAGCAACTGACGGTATCTCCCCCCGGGGTTAACGTCATCCCTGCGCTGCAACTGCGCTTGCTCACTAGACTTGTCGGAAGGGAAGTACTTGTATTTCATTGGTTTGTTTTGCCAACAAAGGAGGAAACACAACTCCTGTAGGGGAGGGGACGACAAAAAGACCTTCTTTGTTTCTAGAAAGAACCTCACGCAACGTAATTTCAGCTGTGATCACATTGACACTAATTTAGGCATTACATTTTTTCAAGGCGTTTCCTTTCAGCAAGAACGCTTTGAAAAACTGACCTTAGTGGTGAAATTTCACCTTTTTAAAATCGCTCTTGGACTTTGTATCTAACTAAATCTCCAGATAGTCTGCATTTTGATATGCGCGCATTCATGAATACAGATTTCACTCTGGTTACAGGCCCAGACATATCCCTTTGTTCCCGGCAACGAAGAATCATAAGATCTGACATCTCGACGAAACGTTTGTAACACTGAATCAAAAGTACTTATCGTTATATAAATATAAAAATTCTTTTCGAACTATGGAGAAGCGCGTCCTTTACAGAGCCGTGAGATCTGCACTTGTACATTTCTCGACAATATTTATTACTGGCAGCGCGAGTCTGAAACGTTTCACCTGTTATTTTGTTTGTTTGTTTATATCGTTTTCTTTTACATTATACAACAATTGACAATAAAATTCACAAATCCTTCCGCTTGCGAACTCCGAAAATCGCGTGGAAATTCTAGAAGGAAACAATCTGTCGGGCTAAGAAAAAAACAAAACAAAAAAAAGTTCGATATTGTTAAATCTGACTGGAACCAGGCGGGAAAAACTCTCATTCATACAAAATGGGGTTGCGTAGTAAATGAAATGTTTTGCCTTAGTGGTTTAATTTCCCCCCTCCCCCTACCCCCATCTCCAGCCTGAAACATACTTAGCCCCTCTGTAAACTCAATTTCTTTCTTGCGGTCGCCCGTGGGTGTATTTTACCCAGCCGTTTCTGGGGGGCTTCTCGAGTTCCGGTACAAAAGTCTGGGATGAAAAGGCGGATTGTTCGAACCAGAGCAGTTTTATGAAGGCTTCACATCGTTTCACAGCTGACACAGAAGCTAGAGACCGGAAATGCATTAGCGACAAGGCGGAAATGAAACATGCTAAATGTTTTCTTCCTTGGACAATCGGCAATATTAACAATGGTGGCCAATTAATTTGCTGTACCGACTTAGCTGTCCAAAAATCACTAGGAACGTGTAGCCACTATTCCCTATTCCGGTTTCAAAAACAATCGAGGACAGACAGATATTGCCTAAATATAGTCACTAAGCCAACAAAGGGAAAATTGGGAGTGTTTCTATGCGACCAACAACCCACGCAAGATTAGCCAAAAAGTAAAACAAAAAACAGCTTCCGGTTCCAGCAGAAATGGGAACTTTTTACTGAATAGTAACACCGAAAAATGCAATTCAAATAAAGGGATAGCTGTTGCAATGGAAAGGTAAAACCCGTATACTGTATGTCTATTTTTGCCGAAGTTTACAGGTCTTTTAGCAGGTAGCGTCAGAAAATGTTCAGCCCGATGCACGTTTCTGTCTTCTTATTTTTGCACGATCAAACTCGCAGAACCTTAAAACGTGAACCGTAGAGCTGAAATACAGCAAACGCGATCGAAAGAGCTTTGTGTAGAATTATTTTGCCTCACCGTAGCCTCTCCCAGTTAGTGAATATGTTTACCTCACGCTTTCGTGCACACGTGTTTAGGAAATAAGTCGAGTATATGGCAACAGGTGACCCGCGGAGAATTTCTAACCATGTAGGTAGACCGAAATAAGTGTTGTCTTCCTGCTATTAAAACTGCCCTAGCCTCAAGTAATAAAAACAGCAGCGATAACGCTGAAACGCAACATTCCCAGCTTCTTCGCCTTCAACCGGCGAAGAGGAAAGTATTTAAATAATTCGATATATTTCTTGGACATAAAAAACAAATTTCTTCCTACTTCAGTTTCGAAAACAAACCTTACCTCGTTCTTAAATAATATTTGAAATAAATGCTAATTTAGTTTCCTATCAGCTCTGTATAGTGCTCCGCTTTCACGCGACACAGAATTCAGTCAGTTATGGAGCCCTGCGATTGATCATAAACACAAACGACGACAGCTGTAAATTCGTTAAACTGTAACTGACCTTTCTACTTGGCGTCAAATCCATCCACGAGGGAAAATTCCCGTTTATATCCAGTTCCGCACTTGGTGAACACCTTGCAGTCCACTGATAACAGCTTTTCTCGCTGTCGAGACTTATACCTCCCAACGCCCTGTTCGTTGCTGCGAAAAACAAAAAACACTTATAAAAAACAATTACGCCATAAAACTTGAGGTAGATTATTCACTTGTTTTTGTCCCCAAATGCTCCAGATTAAGGTGTGGCCGTTTGTTTACCGCGGTCATGTCACTGCAAAATATAGGCGGCATGTGAGACCGAGAGATTATTTTTGTTACGGTAAGCAGTAAGACGTGTGCATCAGGAATAATTATGGTAAAAACGGTAAGAAAATCTTCTCCTTATTTCGTAGCAATCTGAGGTGAGATTTAGTCGTTCTTGCTTCTTCGTTCCACCTCATTAAATCAGGCGTTGCGCTGCACTGGCAAATTCAGTGTTCGACAGGTTCTTGTGCTACAAGTGTCAAATAATCTGTCAGTGAAAAACAACCCTAAAGCTGTGAGATCTTCAAGTCTGTGCCAAATATACAAAATATGTCATTCAAGCAGTTGATTCATAGAGCTTTGGAAGTTTGCCAGGTGTACGAGCCTGAGAAGAATTCAATTATATGACGGGAAAACACATTTACATGCAAAAAGAAAAACCGCACTAGAAGTTCATTTTCTTTAATATGCAGTTGTCGAACTCGGAACGAAAATTTTCATGGATAGACAATTTGTATTTCTGTGTTTTATCAGGTTGATAGTTCTTTTGCCGCTAAGTGCTAATTTGGACTTAAATAACCTTTAACATTTGTAAAATAATATGATAAACAACAATAACATTTAACAACAATTTAATTAACGTGATCATAAATAATTGGCATACGAACAGGTTGTGTGAAAGTATCAAAACATCAGTATTCAGGTGTGATCAAGTAAATACTTTTTTGGTCAAGCTACACTCTGTTCAATATGTTATTTTCTTGAGATGTCAATTCGACCAATTCCTCCTAAACTCACAAAAAACTTGAGAGGAGATTGTCGGAACAACAGAGTGAACTCAAGACAGTCCAGTCCATTTTTTTCTAACACCTATCAACGTTATTCCTGATTAATGTGCCGAATCTCAAAAATTGACGGCAGTCAGATTTAGCGTATATCTTACACTGTAAAAACTACGATCAATTACAAAGTTTCACTTGGTTCACTCTCGTGTCCCAAACAGTCCTCAGTGATAGAGATGGCTTCTTGGGACGGCTGATATCTACTATGGGCGAAGCATGGCTAATTTATTAGCCCTGGTGCACGCTCAGACTCTAAACTGACACGGTTTTCTGTGACACTTTCCACCCAAAGTGCCTCTGTATTCGCGCTTGGTGCGCGAGCACTGGTGCCTGGGTACCGGCATAGTGTTGAGTTCGGTGTACTCAAAAAGCCCAAGTACCATCTAACTCCCGAATACAAGGTCGAGACCTTGTACCCGCCCGCGCCCGAATTCTTGGGTGAGTGCTTGGAAAAAACTATGTGTTCACATATGTGTCCAGCGAGAACTGTACTCGGGCACTGCACTAGAGCACAAAGTGTGAACATAGCCTTTAAGGGATACAACCATCAGTGAGGAATGTCTAGGGGGTCAGATAAGCTTCAATCAAGTCGCCAGCAGAGGTCGCCTGCTAAACTAATATTACGAGAGGAAGCACACATTTTAGTGATTCCATAGACAGCAGTTTTTAAAATTCTACTGAACATAGATCGACATTGAAATCAGTAAAATGAAAACCTTTCGCAAAAAAAAACAACAACAACTGTAGCTTCCACCGGCAGTTTCGTCAACAAAATACAGTGAAACCTGTATTAAGCGGACCCCATATTAAGCGGATACCCTCTATTAAGTGGAAACCTGCTGAAGTCCCAAGATTTTCTGTCCATATTTACCGGCCTGTAAAATAAACCTGCATTCGGCGGACACCTCTGTTAAGCGCACGCGGACACCAATACTGAGCAGTGTTTGATCTTACACTGGGTTACACTGGTTTACCCTGTATTACAAAAGAGGTAAGACGTAATCCGATAGAAAATCGAGCAATTTCAGGTTTCAGTTGACAAAAATCTGGTACCAGAATAATTTTAAGTATTTTACAGACATTTTAACATTTTCTTAAAGCTAAATACCTAAATAACTGCCTGAAATAATACCGAAAACAATTTCCCATGGGAACGAGAGAAAATAAATTTCAAAGTTCAGAGAACTTGTGCAAACACAGGCAAAATTTCATCATCAGTTTCATTTTACCAGTATTTTCAAGTGTTTCATACGAAGTTCAACATTCGTTTTCGACGTTTGGTGTTGCTAGAAAACTTTTTTTTTTCGAGCAGATATTTAAAACAGTCGTACAGAAGTTTGAAATACGATGTATATAATCTTGGTACTAGGTTTTTGTCCACTTGGTACTCAAACTTCTGGTGGATTCCGTCTCAATAATTTAAAACTATTATTGCACAACATATTAGAACCTGTTTTGAACGAACGGACACCCTGTATTAAGCGGACACCAGTGTCAAGGGTGTCCCAAGGGTGTCCGCTAAATACAGGTTTCACCGTCGAACCCAGTAAAGAACATTGCTGACGCACAAAAAATTTGAACGAAGGGGTCTTATTCAGCCAACATAGTCTTAACTGTGTTTCAGGTGAGGTGTTTATGGCAGTTCTTTCCTTGTGTTTTACTTGAACGTTGATTGATTAGAAAAAAACTGATTTCTTACATCTCAATTCTGAAAAAAATGCCTGTCTATTTTGGCGGATTGAATTCGTCCGCCTTAGCTTTCGAGTGATGAGAGGGAAGTATTCATGCTCACACGGTGCAATTTTAAACAATTTCAAACAGGTACAATAAAATGGAGTGTCGCCCAAATATCGAGCATGTTTCAAACTAATAGAAATCCTGTCTTGATTTCACTTCTCATGTACGGTTCCATAAACCGAATACGGACTTGCATTTGATGCATGCGATTTTCCAGCCATCCCCATGCAATATAGAGTTGCAGTGAACTGACTCCATTACAGCGGATTCCGTTAATTGCAGTTTCGAAAAAGCTGGACAAAGACCAAGATTTCACCAGTTAACTAGATGTTCTTGAGAGAAACCTCAGTTAAAAAATCTTAAGAACTTACCAGGAAGCGATTTATGTGCCAGTTCAATTGAGAAAGTAGTTTGTCCGCTGATCTATCTCACAGAAGCCCATTGTTTAGCACGATTATGACCTTGGCAATTTCTTCAATGTCTTGCGTTATTTTTGATCGAACATGACGTACAGAAGCCAGATCCGTTTAGTGTGAGGAGCGCGATGCACTAAAGAAAATTTCACCTTATAATAATGGTACTTACGAGTAAGAATTGCAAACGTCCTGTAGTATATTCAGTCCTTTCAGTCCAATTTGAGCAATGAAGGTTTCACACTTTGTGCATGATGCATTTATCATCCGATAATGAAACACACCTTCCTAAATTAGATAATTACACTGGCACATGGACACCTACGTAGATAACGATTTAATAATTTCTAATTATTCTGCTGAAACAAGTTCAATGCAGTACAAACAGTAATTTTGTGACAGTAATAATGGGCTCGCAAATCTACAAGTGTCTTGCATCGAGTTTGAAAATGTCCTGATATATTTTTTTTTTTTTCATTTGCCTTCTGCTTTTTACTCTGACTTAGTCTCAGAATGCGTTTATGTAGGTCAAAACTTTTGACTGTCATCATAAGGCCGACATATGAACGATAAAAAGAAGAATTTGTTAGGTTCGGCCCTCTTTTATTATTACCGCACGAGCACACAGCTGATGCGGAACTAAAGAGCAGAGCCTGGCAACCAGCCTCGTTGAGAGCATAATTTTGCGCGAAGAAAGCAAACACCAACACGAGGTAACGAATCTTCTGCTTGTTTTTGAATTTGTATTTAATCTTAGATATATAGGTATACATATAAAAAAAACAATACACAACTTGAAAACCTTAAACAGTTAGACGTTATTAGCTTAAGATGCATAAATAATAGACTGCTTAAGGAATGCCTGGATCGCCAAGACCTCATTTTTCACAAACTCTAAGCCTCACCACGTGATCGTCTTCACACTTTTTTCTCAGTCATCACTAAGTTTTAGGATTGAGGATATATATCATGATGACTTCACTTTCACGTAATGCACAACGTCACGTTTAAGTTTAGCTTCCGGTTCGAAACTGACCGGAAACAGCTTCACCGGAAACTGATACAGCTAGGAAGCACGATGCTGACAATTGCAAATGCTGTAACGAAGTTGTAATATCCCTTTTTCTTTCTTTATAATCAGAGCATGTTTCAGGTAGGAATATAATTTTTTTGTTCATGTAGGTATGGGTGACAAAATCGCAAAATGAAGTCACACAGGCGGACCCACGCACACGAAAGGTGTCCAGGTCTGCACTTTACTCTCTGAATTTCAACTGCAGAAACTCAGGACAACTAAACGATGGCTTTAAAAATGCTATTTGTGATACATGTATAAACTATACAGGCTTAGTGTTCTCCTACATCAACCCAGTGACTGTGCGAGTATAAAGTGATATGCTTAGAAAGGCCGTGAAAATTCATTAGCTCAATGACCCGGTAGTCCAGGGTGGATCTGTGAAGAGTGATGCCTAAAGCAAAAATTGACCCCTATCTCTCAGAATTTAATTAGTCCAAAGAATTCAAAGACCAGTGAGTTGTGTCAGTGATCCATAATTTTCGATTCATGGTTAGATCAGTATCGTTTGTTCATGAACTATAAATGCTTTTCCTCACCAGCTTACACAAATGAGGTAAACAATTAACGGCATACGGGATATTTGGGAGGAAATTATGGGATATGGGATATTAGGATCAGATAAATAGAGGATATTACACGGTGGCGAGAAGATATGAATTTTATGTTCGAGTAGCAAGAACAATATCTCACTCGTTCGCTTCGCTCACTCGTGAGATATTGTTCTTGCCACGAGAACATAAAATTCATATCTTCGAGCCAACGTGTAATGTTCTTTTTATTATATGGAGAAACCAATTCAACAAAAGCAAAAGGCGGGAATCGTGACGTCATTGAACGATACGACACTCACAAAGGTGACATACGGAAAATACGCCACTCAGGTCCCGGATGAAGTGGCGTATGGAATCTACGAGTGGTTTAGTTCCCAGTAAAACACTCTTCTCCATATAATAAAACAGGATATCGAGTAGAAAACTGTTGATTTTTTCAACTGGAATTAACGGGATATTTAGGCCAAAAGCTAACCTGGAGTGGGATACTTAGACCCCCCAATGGGGCCTCTCAAATCGTCTCACACATCATGTTGAGAAAAGTTAAAGGCAAGTAGATACAAACGTTGAATCACTGGGATGTGATACGATCTCGGCTTAGCTTGCCGCGGAAACAACATAATTTTTGATACACAAAAAGACGTAAAGAAACCAGGTCAGGGGCCTGTTCTGTGAGATCACACACTGTTTGACGTTAGTTGGGTTTTCTGTGTTCAGCCGAAATCGAAACTATTTTTGTTTGGTTTGGTCGGTCTGTCTGAACTTTCTATTCAGACTTGAAACTGATGGTCAAATGGTTCGTGCGAGAAGAACACGGCAAGCTCAAGGATAACTTTCTTGTAACAGAATTGACTTCTTTTCCCATGTTTTTGAACTCACGATTTCTGAGAATATGAAACATGCGTAAATACCCGGCCCTATTTGATGAATTTTTCTATTACCGAGAATCGGTCTAATAGCAACCTCGAGAATTAAAAAGGTTAGAGTGGAAACATTTGTCTTTAGTACAGATGACTCTTCTAGGACATGTTCTTTTCAATTAAGAAAACTCGTTTTTAACTAAGAACATGTTCAGTAAGCTTTTTGGAGATTTACTTTCGAAAGGTTTAAGGTACGAGGTCAGGGCTAGCCAAATGAAACTACAAAGCTTGAGGCTAAACCTTGGGGACAAAAAACCACAACTATGGGTCGTAATTGAAAGTGAACCATCAGTCGATCAGCCTATGCGAAGGACATGCTTTATGAATCTGGTTATGCACAAAGGGTCAAAAATGTTCTTGTTATATAAATTCTTTACAGCGATAAGTTACCTGGATGTGTGTTTCTCGGAAAAGGTCCACTTTGTTCTCGTCGCGATCTCCGCTTCAATTTTTCCGAACTTTTATGTCATACACCCTTGCACTGATCTGTTGTGCTTTGCGCTGAAGAGATACGAATAATGAATGTTGTGGAGTAGCTTTCACTTTTGAAGTACCCACCAAGTACTTTCCCATTTGAATATGTAAGGCACACAAGTTTTCCAAGAAATTAAAGTTAATTTTCAGTTTCCAAGCCTCTCTAAAATTCCGGCTAACCCGGAAGTCCGTTATTTCTGGGATTTGAAAGGGATGTCAGTTAATAATTAATTTTTAATGCAGCCAAAATAGTTACAGATGTGCCATCGCAGTCTGAAACGCTTCGAGGCAAGTCAAGTTCCTGAACTATTAGACTATATGGAAGAACCGTGGAAGAACCATAGAAGAAGGAGCAATGAGAAAAGAAGGAGCGCAAAGAAATATCTCCCTTCCCTGGCGATCCCTGGGGTATAGGCAGTTTTGTGCAGCCCACATGAAGTAAAAAATTTTGATCCTGCGTGTGGGTGTGCCTAAAGGCTCATTTGTATACCGAAAAAATACATAAAGGAAATAAACAATAGACTGCAAGGCTGATACTACTTGAAAAACGTTTCGAGACACCAACATGACAACAACCGATAAAGTAGGATCG